TGATGATCTTTCACCATAGCGACACAGATCCTTGCACATGGTGCCGCTCACATGTGATTCTCCAGTAGTGCTTATATACTCTGGCCTAGCAGGGGAATCCTCAGAGTTTCTTCTCTTTGGATCCCCCTTGCTAGGTGTGCCTTCTTTCACTGTATTCTGATACATCTTATTCATATCCTTTGGATCCCCCTTGCTAGGACTCTTGAGTATTCTCGGGCCTCGAGGTTGCCCTTACAGAAAGACAAATTGTGATCTAGCACATGAATTTTCAGTAGAGCAATTCTGTCCAATTGTATGCCTTCTAATTGCCTTTTGTGGGTACCGATGGGGCTCGGGCTTCCCGGTCATGTTCAATTGTGCTGCCAGATGAATTTTGAGCATTATCTCGATAGAGTACTGTGGCCGAGTCATTTGGGAATCTTAGCGATGCCGAATGCCTAACAGGCATCACACAAAACACTGGGGGGGGGGGGGGGGGGGCGAGTCTTAAATTGCTACTTACTGGTCAGGTATTGCTCGGTATCGCCTGAAAGCTTGGCAGTAGGGTCTTTGGTATGTCCTGACCCACCTTGTACAGTACCCAGTCGGGAAATCGTGTGAAACTTCCTTATGTGGCAATTTCATGAATAGAGGGAGTTAGTTGGTTCCTCACGTTTCATGTTGGAGACCGGAACCGGTACCAGAAGTCTTCTGTTATATATATATATATATATATCTATATTGGCTTGATTTTTCTTAATTTCTTTCCATAATCTGGCCGTGTCACGATTGGCTTCTTCACATTTTGCGTTGGAAGCCAAAATCAGTACCAGAAAGTAACTTATATTGACGCTCCCTGCGCAAACCCACCATAACGGTGTTTAAAGCCGCGGATTCACACCACCGGACAAGCACCTTTTCGCAGAATTCTTCTGGTGTTCATGGAATTCCTTCGCGCGTGGCTCGAATCGCCATCTACACGATGCACCGTTTCTTCCCCATCTTTCAATTCACACTCACCCTTTCCTCCATCCAATCTCTTTTAGCCTTTAGCCATCCAGACACGGCACGAATCCATCGGGCCTCTCTTCGATGGGTTGATTTTGCCAGTGCTAAATCCAGTGCAGAAACTATTCGAAGCATACTCGAGACGATTGGATTGGATTTAGTCTTATCACCACAGTGATGGTGAGGTCGCTACTGTTCGACGCCTCCCAATTGACAGTCACATGTCGCCGCCATATCTTGTGTTGGTCACCTTTTTGCGGCCACGAGTAAGGGAACAAAAAGGAAGCCGAAAAAGGGAGTCAAAAAGGCCGGAAACAGGGAACTGTGAATGACCTTATTATAACTTATTGATTGACGGATGCCGAGGAGAGCGATAAATAAATGGGGTTCGGGCTCCTCTGCTTGAGGCACTGACTCTGGGTAGGGATGTGTAAGGTCAAGTAGATGCAGCACCTGCTAAAGAATCGTCGAGACTGGGAATGTTGCCCCTACCCCTCAGATGTGTCAGCTGTCCCTGGACAACATTTGAATCATGCCATTACACATTTTTGGCATCGGCCGGTCTTCGCTGCTACGCGTTGACTATATCTGGTCGACGAATTTGACTGGGGTATTTCTTTCTGGAAATCGGCCCAAACTAGTAAGCGTATAAGTACCGTGAGCTTTCCGAGGCTTGCCCACACAGTGTTGTCTCACCATTGTCGCTTGCACCCTTCAAGACAACTGTCGCGGACGCCAGACGGATCGTCGAGATTAGTCAACGAGTCCAACAGTTTCCCTTTTTAGAGGCCTTCAATTATAGTCATTAATTCACATGGGTAAACGCACAAATACCCTGAGCTGACCGAGAACTGACCAGAAAGCGTTCTCTCACCATGTTCGCACTTTCCAACCTTGCCTCTCTGCTTGTTGCGTTCGCAGTCGCAGTCAAAGCTACCGGCACCGTTTTTGTGGTCTACCCTGGTTGGGACATGGCCAATGAAAGCCTCGAAGCCACATTCGACGGAACGGAAAGAGATTGCCTAACATCTTGTCAAACGAGTGAGTTCTGTAAGAATTTGGGAATCGTCCGACTCACAATTTCGAGACTCTGTTTGCGTCGCGTATACATACATCCCTTATGGCTCGGGTGCTACGGGGGTTAGCCCCGCATGTATCCTGAAAAGCAGCATCAACGTCAACGATTTCACGGTTCAGTCTTTTCCTGCGAGTACCGCCCTCGTCGGACACTGTGGGGCGTGAGTCACTCCTCTCGTGATGCCTTGCACTGACAATAGCTTTTTCGTATCGGAAGCTTCGCACCAGGTATTCAACAAATCTTGTCCAGATTCTGGACGCTAACTTCGGGGTTCAGTTGGACCTACTATTTGCCTGGGCGCGGAATAGTTAGGCACACCAGGAGTACAGAGTTTGAGATCTCAGTTATAGAGAGTTGGATTTGTATGTGGTCATCATGAATCGCACCGATCTGAGGCGGGCAGTATTTCGAATGAAAACGTCGATAAGTACGCTGCCAAGACTTGAACTGGAATTTAACTTCAAACAAGAGATGATATTGTGAGCTCTAGATATTTGTTGAAGAGGGGAAAGACGTTGGAAGGCGACGGAAGGAGGAAGTGATGCCACCACGCAACTCGTTCGACTCGGATATATTTCCAATATGAAAGGAAGTGTATCCAGCCTTTTTGTACGCTCTTTGACAGAATTGTGGTTTTAACTGACGCTCATGCTCCTAATACCAAGATTTTCTTTCCACACTGGTTGGGAGATTCAAATTTTTCAGCACAATTTACGGTGAAAAATGTCGTTGGGTTTTCAGACATTTTTCAGTGAAAAAGAGGGTGAAAAATTTAAACATTTTTCACCACAATTTTAAGTGAAATTTGAGGTGAAAAACTTGAAACAAAATTCATAAGAGTTCATGCTAAATTTTCACCATAAATTCCAGTAGTTTTTCAGACATTTTTCACTGGAAAAGTAGTTGAAAAATCCAAACATTTTTCACCACTATTTCAAGTGAAATTTAAGGTGAAAAACTTGAAACAAAATTCAAAAGCTTTTTTACCACAATTTTCAGTGGGAAAATCCATGAAAAATGGCTGAAAAATGTTCAAAGAAAGGTGGTGGAAAACTTGAAATCTGGTTTCACTTTTTTTAGGGAGTTTTCATCTTCTTTTTCACTGTGATCGTTGGTGAAAAATGTGATGGAAAATACAGGTTTTTTTTCACCACCTTTTGCAGGGTATATATAGGTGAAGAAGTCAAGGCAGTTCTCAGACATTTTTTGCCTGGAATTGAGGTGAAAAACTTGAAATCTGAATTTAAGTTTTCCAGCGGAAAATTTGAAACCTCTATTTCAAGTTTTCCACCACAAATTCAGCAGCTTTTCAGCTGAAAATACTGGTGAAAAACTTGAAACCTGGCTTAAAACTGACACATTGAATTGAAGAATTATATAAGGACAGGAGGGTAGGAGGTGGAAGAGAAGAGAATCACATGAACTGTTTCACTAGCTTGTGTACTTTTAGAACTGTGTGTACCCTTGAGTGGCACAAGGGATGGTGCAAGCAGAATGGAGCCCCAGAGAAGACAGAAGTTGTTCAAGTTGACTCGGGGTGCTCTGCAAAGCGATGGATTGAAGAGAAGAGTTACAGCCAGTGTTACACTAGGGGAATTGCTACCCTTGTAAGCAAAGTCAAGCATTTTAGACTGCAAGGCAAAACTCAATGTGTGGTGTGATACGGACTGCGGTTCCGTGAGTTGTCTGACCGGGTGTGGTATAGTCAGGCAAAAGCACGAAATTAGTTCGTCCTCTAGAGGGAAATTTCTCTGTTGCGGAGATTCGTCTGCTACTGTAGTACACGCAATGTTATGTATTTTAAAATGGTGGTGGTGGTGGTACAGTTCCTTCTCTACGGAATGAACAGTCTCGCTAGGTTCCTCGAGGATTTATTTCCTCGTTGGGAGGCTAGCCTTCTAGGAAAGCTTCGATCGGAGGGTTTTCTACACTTGCGCGAAGGGCAATGCTCCGCAAGATGAACGCCGTTCCGTGTCGAGATGCCTGGGCTATATGGTTCCTTTCCTTATCCCCTTGCCTCGTATAGGTTTGGCAAGCAGTATCTTCAGAACTGTTGAACACAACGCGTACAGGTTATAGCGTAGTCCTTTGTAACCCAGCTTTTTCTCTACGCTGTGGTGGTACGGCCAAGGAGTGTCAATTCCGTGGGCGTGTGTGTGGCGAAGTGGTGAGAATGAATCGTGAAGTGGTTATAATCGAATCGGATAAGCCTTCCGCGACGATGGGGGTGGTACTCCGCGCACGGATCTGCGTTCGAGGCCCAAGCCAACGGTTACACGCTGCTAAGTTGGGCTGCTGGCCGTTTGGAAGTTTCGCCGCGCGTACTACAACCACGCGAGCTATCAACGCCGATGTTTTCTATAATTCCTTCTGGCTCGTTCTATTAAGCCGGAAGTACTACGGACAAGCCTCCTTGATTGAAGCTTTGGTCCAATTTGACCTTGGTTGGTCCCATGGAGGGCGGCGCAACCTGAGCGAGTATGTATTTGACTAGATTCTCACCCCGTATGATCGAGGGGGAGTAGCTTAGGTATGAGCAGTGGGAGGTAATAAGATGCATTCTTCTACGGACGTCCCTGCTTTTATACTAATTTCTTTCCGACCGCCGCGCGCGACCTTATTCCTCATTCGTCCACGGACCCCTTTCAACACTGCCCTCCTTGCCTCGCGGCGGGGATCTCCATGCTTTCCCGTGTGCTTGAAGGAGATACCTAACCCACGGACTGTAACGTTGCTGCCCGTGCGCCCAATTTCCGTACTCCGTAGCTCGCACCTCCTTCCGTAGCTTTTGATATGTACCGCGTGGCGACACTTTCCGTACTCCGTGCAGTACCCCGCGTTGGCGATGTTTACCGTTCCGTGTTCTGCGTATGCATCATGTCGATTTGTTAATTTTCGTGAGGTCCGTGGCGATTTGGGGATTTTTGTGGCGGTAGGCCTGGTGGCGTAACTGGTAACACGCGCACTTGTAGTTCCACTTCTGCACAATATGACAGTTGCGAGACCCTTGTTCGATTCGAGGTCAGGTCATGTACACTTTTTCCCACAGGAGAGAATCAACCGTGGGTCGACACCTTTTCTTTGACGTCCTGTAGTGTAGACCTGGTGGCGTAACTGGTAACGCGCGCATTTGTAGTTCTCTTCACAATATTGCATAATTGCGAGTCCCTCGTTCGATTCGGGGTCGGGTCGTTTTTGCTTCCTTTTCCCACAGGAGAGAATCAACCGTGAGTCGACACCTTTTCTTTGACGTCTTGTAGCGTAGACCTGGTGGCGTAATGGTAACGCGCGCATCGTCGGTTTCCTCACAATATTGCATAATTGCGAGTCCCTCGTTCGATTCGGGGTCAGGTCGTTTTTGCATCCTTTTTCTGTGCGTGCTCCGTAGTGCGTATTTCCCTTTTTCAGCCACGGAGGGAGCGTATCACAAAGTGATAGCTCACATCTCCTCCCCACTTTTGAATGCCGACCGTCCCCGGTTGGCGCCACGTATAAATATGACCCATCCGTAGGTCGAGAATCAGAACTTTTTCTGAAGATGGAGGTCGCTTCCATTCTACAATTCATCCCCTTCCTGCGGAAAGCCTTGACGTCCTGATTGGCGGCCTAGCGGAGTTCCTTTATCGTAACCTCCGGTTCAAGGTGTTCCTTGTGGCGATTTCCATGCTGGAGGACCGTTGGGCCACGCGTACGCGTCCTTCACTGACCACGAAGGATCTCCATGAAGTGCGCGTCTGCGTACGTCTAATTGTAGACCACATGGTAGGCGATGTTGTCCAGATATTCAGGCGACGGTGGTTGCTTCCTAGTATTATGCCGCACGGAGGGAGCGTATCACAAAGTGATAGCTCACAGTGGGAGGGGGGGCTGTTAAATGAATGGAAACCATAATTGGTGGTGGCTCACGTTGGGGTCAAAGGTGCTTATCCAGTGCTCAGAGGGTGTGCCATCGCAGCCCACCAGCAGGGGGGAATTTCCGGGGCTCGGTGATGGTGCAGTCGAGTCCTCAGGAGGTGTTCCAACAACTCCCCGACATCGGCTGAAAATTTGCATCCCAACCGTGGTCGACTGATGCACGGCCCAGAACTGGGCAAATTCTGCTTGCACGGAGGGGAATTTAATTTCCCTGACCCGCGGGAAGTCTGGAGGGCTCGGTGATGGTGCAGTCGAGTCCTCAGGAGGTGTTCCAACAACTCCCCGACATCGGCTGAAAATTTGCATCCCAACCGTGGTCGACTGATGCACGGCCCAGAACTGGGCAAATTCTGCTTGCACGGAGGGGAATTTAATTTCCCTGACCCGCGGGAAGTCTGGAGGGCTTGGTGATGGTGCAGTCGAGTCCTTTGGAGGTGTTCCAACAACTCCCCGACATCGGCTGAAAATTTCCAGTTCTGGGCCGTGCATCAGTCGACCACGGTTGGGATGCAAATTTTCAGCCGATGTCGGGGAGTTGTTGGAACACCTCCAAAGGACTCGACTGCACCATCACCGAGCCCTCCAGACTTCCCGCGGGTCAGGGAAATTAAATTCCCCTCCGTGCAAGCAGAATTTGCCCAGTTCTGGGCCGTGCATCAGTCGACCACGGTTGGGATGCAAATTTTCAGCCGATGTCGGGGAGTTGTTGGAACACCTCCAAAGGACTCGACTGCACCATCACCGAGCCCTCCAGACTTCCCGCGGGTCAGGGAAATTAAATTCCCCTCCGTGCAAGCAGAATTTGCCCAGTTCTGGGCCGTGCATCAGTCGACCACGGTTGGGATGCAAATTTTCAGCCGATGTCGGGGAGTTGTTGGAACACCTCCAAAGGACTCGACTGCACCATCACCGAGCCCTCCAGACTTCCCGCGGGTCAGGGAAATTAAATTCCCCTCCGTGCAAGCAGAATTTGCCCAGTTCTGGGCCGTGCATCAGTCGACCACGGTTGGGATGCAAATTTTCAGCCGATGTCGGGGAGTTGTTGGAACACCTCCAAAGGACTCGACTGCACCATCACCGAGCCCTCCAGACTTCCCGCGGGTCAGGGAAATTAAATTCCCCTCCGTGCAAGCAGAATTTGCCCAGTTCTGGGCCGTGCATCAGTCGACCACGGTTGGGATGCAAATTTTCAGCCGATGTCGGGGAGTTGTTGGAACACCTCCAAAGGACTCGACTGCACCATCACCGAGCCCTCCAGACTTCCCGCGGGTCAGGGAAATTAAATTCCCCTCCGTGCAAGCAGAATTTGCCCAGTTCTGGGCCGTGCATCAGTCGACCACGGTTGGGATGCAAATTTTCAGCCGATGTCGGGGAGTTGTTGGAACACCTCCAAAGGACTCGACTGCACCATCACCGAGCCCTCCAGACTTCCCGCGGGTCAGGGAAATTAAATTCCCCTCCGTGCAAGCAGAATTTGCCCAGTTCAGAACCGTGCATTGGTCAACCACGGCTGGGATGCAAATTTTCAGCCGATGTCGGGGAGTTGTTGGAACACCTCCAAAGGACTCCACTGCACCATCACCGAGCCCTCCAGACTTCCCGCGGGTCAGGGAAATTAAATTCCCCTCCGTGCAAGCAGAATTTGCCCACTTCTGGGCCGTGCATCAGTCAACCACGGTTGGGATGCAAATTTTCGGCCGATGGCAGGGAGTTGTCAGAAGACCTCGTCAACTGAGATCAATGATTGGTCCATGCACATCAAATTTCACGCTCATTGAATCACGTTATCGTTGGTTTCCATCACATTGCTCCTTGCCTTCCGCTTCCACCTCCCTCCCATTTTCACCCTCTATTGAGCCCACCGGCGCTCAGCACTCAGCTTTGAGCTATGGGGTTACTCCCTCTTCGCTTTTGGGAACTCGTGTTCCCGTTCCCCAGTGTGTTCATCTTGAATCGTTGCCAGCCCATCCCAGAACCGTCACTCCTGTACTGGATCCCGACCAGCGACAGTGCCAAGTAACACATCAAAGCAAAAACACTCCCGCCCGATGCTCTCCATCTCATTTCCTGCAAATCCCGCCACAATGTCATCAAATACTGTTGTCAACTCTCGCGCGTATGTCAAGCCGAGTTATGCTTCAACCCTCGTCAATCTTTCCAAGCTATGAAGCCCAAGTTTCGGAGAACTATAATGAATATAATTTTTTTGCTCCCCATTGTCAAGTGTGCGGTGTATCCTCAAGACCCGATATTCAATTTTTTTTGATGTGCTTCCCATCAAACTAAACTCTGTACTCAATGTGCCCGTCAAGCTGCTACGTCAAGTCCATCCCAAGGTTCTACATCAAATCTACCCCAAGCTTCTCTTGGGAAATATCTCCTGTTTATCCTCAACCTGCGCGCTCATTTCAAGTCCTCCGCCATTCCTTAGCTCCAGTGTTGTCCTTGAGCTAGTTCTTTTCATGTATCCACTGAATATCACCACATTGTTTTGTATCTCTTTGCGTGATTTGAGTTTCTTGCTTGCACGGAGGGGAATTTAATTTCCCTGACCCGCAGGAAGTCTGGAGGGCTCGGTGATGGTGCAGTCGAGTCCTCAGGAGGTCTTCCAAGCTAGTGAAACAGTTCATGTGATTCTCTTCTCTTCCACCTCCTACCCTCCTGTCCTTATATAATTCTTCAATTCAATGTGTCAGTTTTAAGCCAGGTTTCAAGTTTTTCACCAGTATTTTCAGCTGAAAAGCTGCTGAATTTGTGGTGGAAAACTTGAAATAGAGGTTCAAATTTTCCGCTGGAAAACTTAAATTCAGATTTCAAGTTTTTCACCTCAATTCCAGGCAAAAAATGTCTGAGAACTGCCTTGACTTCTTCACCTATATATACCCTGCAAAAGGTGGTGAAAAAAAACCTGTATTTTCCATCACATTTTTCACCAACGATCACAGTGAAAAAGAAGATGAAAACTCCCTAAAAAAAGTGAAACCAGATTTCAAGTTTTCCACCACCTTTCTTTGAACATTTTTCAGCCATTTTTCATGGATTTTCCCACTGAAAATTGTGGTAAAAAAGCTTTTGAATTTTGTTTCAAGTTTTTCACCTTAAATTTCACTTGAAATAGTGGTGAAAAATGTTTGGATTTTTCAACTACTTTTCCAGTGAAAAATGTCTGAAAAACTACTGGAATTTATGGTGAAAATTTAGCATGAACTCTTATGAATTTTGTTTCAAGTTTTTCACCTCAAATTTCACTTAAAATTGTGGTGAAAAATGTTTAAATTTTTCACCCTCTTTTTCACTGAAAAATGTCTGAAAACCCAACGACATTTTTCATCGTAAATTGTGCTGAAAAATTTGAATCTCTCAACCAGTGCCAACGCCATCACTAGTAGCCCAGTACTTCATGATCAGACCCTCGTCACTGATCTTTCTTCGCACGACAACTCAAACTCAACGTTTTAATACTCAACTCCCTCTCACTCGTCACCGGCATTATTTCCGCAACACAGGACTGGCTAAGGCTCCAATTTTTTCCGTCTGAAAACTGTTTCAAACGGTTATAACCGTTTTTATTTCCATTTTATTTGATGGACCAGGCAAACTGTTTTTTCAAACCATTTGAACCATTACCTTCCCCCGATGTCTCCCCGGGCCCTTTTCCGTTCTCTGTACCTCTTGCAGTCTTTAATAGGCATGGAAACACTCACTACAGATTGAAACTATCTGTGTTTCTGCAACTGATGCATGAACAGAGCTTGGGTTGAAAATCAACAACCGTGGGAATCTACACTTTTGAGGTTCGGAAATTGTGACGTTCATGTGCTCAGGCGGACTGAAGGCCAATAAGAGGTGAAGCACCCGAAGAAAGGTTCTTGAGGGCCAGAAGGCTGTTTGGCATCCCACGCTGGCCAGAAAGTGCCAGACTGAACACAGTTGACACAAAGGAGAATTATATTCTTGACTTTCGAGAAAAAAATTGTTCTAAAACAGGTTGAAACGGTTTTAGACAGTATCAAAGCCGTTTCCGTTTTATTTTGCCTAGTCCTTCAAACTGAAATCAAATAGTTGGAGCCTTAGGACTGGCTCATAACTGCGCCGTCCGAAACTCATTTCGATAT